ATCAAATGCAAACGTTATTACTTTTCTGTTCTATTGTTCTCACTATTTTCTACTTTCTTTTATCAATTTTTTTTATATGTCAAACTTAACTTTTCATATTATTGTGTAGATTCAGTCCATTGATTTAAATTGTAATTGTAATGAGTCTTGAGTTGATGGAATTTGTAATTAAATGGCTTTATTTCTTTGATAATTGAAGGAAATGGAAATTCAAATTGATTTTATCAACTTAAACTGACTGATTAAGATGATTTAATTTCAAAAATTTTATAATCGTTAAATTTTCAAATATTTTTAACAGTTAAGTTTTCAAATTTTTTGACCGTTATTTTTTCAAATATTTTTTTGACCGCTATTTTTTAAAATGTTTTTTATCGGTTAATTTTCAAATATTCTTTCAATCTTTAAACTTTCAAATATTCTTTCAATCTTTAAACTTTCAAATATTTTTCAATCGTTAAACTTTCAAATATTTTTCAACCGTTAAACTTTCAAATATTCTTTCAATCTTTAAACTTTCAAATATTTTTCAATCGTTAAACTTTCAAATATTTTTCAACCGTTAAACTTTCAAATATTCTTTCAATCTTTAAACTTTCAAATATTTTTCAATCTTTAAACTTTCAAATATTTTTCAACCGTTAAACTTTCAAATATTTTTCAACCGTTAAACTTTCAAATATTTTTTAATCGTTAAACTTTCAAATATTTTTCAACCGTTAATATTTCAAATATTTTTCAATCGTTAAACTTTCAAAAAAATTTCAACCGTTAAACTTTCAAATATTTGTTGACCGTTAGTTTTTCAAAACATTTTTGACTATTAAACTTTGTAAAATTGTAGTGTCAGAGGTTAAAAATATCTTATTACATCTAGTTTATAATAAACTGCATTCAAAATGGAACAAAAAATAAACAATTTTCAATATTAAAACATTTTAATTAACAACATATGAAAGCAGATACTTTCAAACTACATGCTTATTCATTAAATCATTATTTGAAATAAAATGTTTAAATGTAAAGCTTCATCCTGATAAAATATCCCATTCAATGCAAAATCTGCTCAAAAACTACAACTCAACGTTTTTACATCACTAATTAATCGAGATTTTAATGAAAATATAAAGCAATTTCTCATTGCGTATGCAGCATAGAATAATTTTTAATACTAATATTTTTTCATCAAAAATTAACTTTTTCATAGCATAAAAAAATTCTTCATTTCTATTATTTTTTCAAAATCAGATGCTAAAGGCATCATCTCATACATATTGAGTTCCAACATCTACCAACTCATTTCTCATTTTCATTCTGCACGTCACTATAGCTTTATGATTCCTTTGAGGAATTTTTTAATTAAAATCATGGTTTTTTTTTGTGCTGAAAAATTACCTTGCTTCCGTCTTTACGCTCAGCATTTCTATAAATGATTGTGTATGTATATTATACTCTCTGCAATAATTCATAATTGTATGAATGTGGATATATAGCTTCAAGGCTGTCTGATTTCATTCTTACTCATTCTAATTCGAAAATGTAGTTTTTTTTTGTGGAAACTTTAAGGGTAATTCCATGGAACAATTTTTCTACAAATTTGTCTCCAAATTGATTTTTCACATATTTAGACTGCATTTCAGAAAACAAGCTTTTTAAAAGTTATGTAGAAAGTCGTAAGCTACGTAATTTTATACAATTATCCATTCTAAAATGGTTAATTAGCGAATTATTTCAATTTCTTTGCCGTTACTTGGTAACGCTCAACAAAAAAAAGTTCAATTCTACAAACACTTATTTCAATTTTCTCATACTTCGGCTGCTTTTTATGATCAAAAAAGTATACAGAATGATAGATTATTGAACATTCTATCATAATCCGTCTCATAGTAAGCTCAAAAGTCTATAATTAAGCCAAAATTTGAATTCCATGGTTGTTACAAATATGTTACCAAGTAACGCGGAGAGATTTTCCACAGAAAAATGCAGAATTTTAAAAACAAAATTTAAAAATTTCTAGTTGAATTCCGCTTTGTCATGTATTTTTAAGTATCTAAACTTGTACAATATTGTCTGGAAATCATTATTTATGCATTTAAACCAAAGATATTTATAGATAAATAGTGAAATTAAGAATTTTTAATTTTCTTTCTTAATGACATGAATCAGACAAATTTGTAAACAATGAAATGTTTCTATGGAATTACCCTTAATGAATTGAAATGTTATAAATTAAATACATGTACGAGTGTGCTCTACAGTAAGAGATGCTATGACTTCAAGATTTAGTTTAGAAAGGATTTATTCAATTAAATCAGAAATTAACATGGTTAATAATATATTTGAAAAATTAACGGTGATAAAATATTTGAATAATAACGGTCGAAAAATATTTAATAAATAACGGTTAAAAATTGTTTGAACAAATGATGATCAAAAATTATTTGAAAAATTAACGGTTATAAAATATTCGAAAACCAATTTAAATCATTTCAAAATGTTTAAAAATCATAAAATTCACCAGGGGTCGTTCACTTATGACGTCCATCAAAAAACCTGATTTTTAGACCCCCCTCCCCCCCTCTGTCACAAAAATTCTATAGAAAAAAATTTCCATTGTTTGAACTGTCACAATATCCTAGAACCCCCTCCCCCCCCCCTAAATGTCGGACGTCATAAGTGAACGGTCCCTCACCAAAAGTTTATTAAGCATCGCAATAAACCTCATAAATGCAGCACACAATGAAATTATATCAGACAAGAAGTACAAGTGCATGACTTGATGAAATTTTAATCGATAAAACTCACTGTACTATAATTAATTTTGATTGAAAACTCAATAAAAGGTAAGAGCATTATGAGCTTCTGTTCGAGACTTATGCCTTTCATTATAAAGTTTCCATTAAGACGTTAAATTGTATTACATGAGCTGCTCCTCACATGATACTTGACACTTACATACATAAGTTTTCATGCTACCCGACAACTTATTAGATAATGAGTGTTTTAAAGTTTGTTGTCTTAAAATTGTGAAAAGCATCTTAAGCATGCAGCACTCATAAAAATTTCTCACATAAATCTCATAACTCTAGTTAAGCATGCATCCAGCCACATAATGAGTTTTTGCTGTTTTAACTTTGTTTTTTGTTTAGTGCAAAAATTCTCATTAAACATGAAAATGAAATGTAATTTACAGCTTTACAGCAATTGAAATTATGTTTTAGCTGAATTTTATGAGGTTGAAAGGATGACATTTTTGCAGTTTGGGCAATAAAGGTCGAAATTCAATTTTAATGCATTTATAGTCACAAGTTTTAGAGGATTTCAACAACAATGTTATCTTTTCAACATCATTAAATTTTGAATTTTTGAAAACCGTTAATTTTCAAAAAAATTTGTATCCATTGAACTTCAAATTTTTAGAAAACCGGTCAATTTTGAATTTTGGAAAACTGTAAATTTCAGTTTTTTTGGATCAATTAAACTTCAAATTGTGGAAAACCGGTAAATCATGAATTTATTAAAACCGCTAATTTTCAAATTTTTTGAAACCGTAAAATTTAAACTTTTGAAACACGTTAATTTTTAAATTTTTTGGAACCGTTAAAATTCAAATTTCAAAAACAGTGAAAACTTGAATTTTTAAAACCAGTTAAACAACAGTTATCCAGGCCTCAAATATTCAACATAACCCTCCATCCCAACAACAGCATCACCACTCAATTCTCATTTTCATTAACGAATAAGCTGCTTTTTTCGCCATCATTATAATCATATCTGAAGATGCCCGAGATTCGTTTTCATTTTATTTCCTTTATTGCTCCTTTGCTTCATTTATTATTGTCGGGAAATCCCGTAACATGGTAAAGCAGCACATTAATATAAAAAGATTACAACAATCGCAATTTATATCATCTCTCATTCTCGAGGTTTTTTCGTTGTATTGTTGATGCTGCTTCTACAGCTACTAGTGCTCCTTTCATTTGTTATGGAGCATAATTCGTTTATGTGACGACGATGCTGCCATTATTACATTCTGTAACAGGGTTCTTTTTGCTTTTAATTTTTTCATTTATGAATGAATGTTTGGAGGATTTTTTAAATTATTTACAAGTGCATTATGAAATTATGTGAAGTTGCGGTACATAAAGCATTGTTATTGGTACTCATATTGAATGAAATTGTTGGTGGAGACGATAGACCAATATTGACACAACCAGGATTTTCTCATGGAATAGTAAAGCTCCGCGGAGCATAGATTAAGAACTACTGCACCATAATGTCGTTAAACAAAGATTGAGAAGCACTGCAGAATAATGTGGTAAAGCAAATATTGAGAAGCACTGCAAAATAATGAATATGGCTTAGTTTGAGAACCACGGCAATATAATGTCATAAAGCACAGATTGAGAACCTCCGTAGTATAATGTCGTAAAACAAAGATTGAGAAGCACTGCAGAATAGTGCATATAGCTTAGTTTGAGAACCACTGCACTGTAATGTCGAAGAGAATAGATTGAGAACCTCTGCAGTATAATGTTGTAAAACACAGATTGAGAAGCACTGCAGAATAGTGCATATAGCTTAGTTTGAGAACCACTGCACTGTAATGTCGAAGAGAATAGATTGAAAACCTCTGCAGTATAATGTCGTAAAACAAAGATTGAGAAGCACTGCAGAATAGTGAATATGGCTTAGTTTGAGAACCACAGTAATATAATGTCGTAAAGCACAGTTTGAGAACCTCTGCAGTATAATGTCGTAAAACAAAGATTGAGAAGCACTGCAGAATAGCGCATATAGCTTAGTTTGAGAACCACTGCACTGTAATGTCGAAGAGAATAGATTGAGAACCTCTGCAGTATAATGTTGTAAAACACAGATTGAGAAGCACTACAGAATAGTGCATATAGCTTAGTTTGAAAACCACTGTAATATAATGTCGTAAAGCACAGATTTAGAACTACTGCAGTGTGTAAAATTTATTCAAATCGACAACAGGTTTAGTGGCTTCTTAACAATCCCTGCTCAAAAATATTAACAAATGTAATAAATCCAACATATTTCCTGGTTTTATCCTTTAACCAGCGTCCAATAACTTCAGCACAAAAAATAGCTGCAGATATTCCACAGGCAGCAGCCCACAACACAAATCCGAACAGAAGATCATTCATGCATAAAACATTTGGTCCAATCTTAGGCTTTACAAAATTCTTTCTGTAGCTAAGCCAATGGTAATACTCAAAGAGGAATTGAGGAATTCCAGCAGGTATTATAAGTTGTAAAGTTTCTTCAATTAAGACAGTCATGAAATGATTCTGGAAAGTTCCAAATCCGATTGGATATGAGAATAAAATTTGTTTAAGGTAAACTCCTTGAGTTCCTTTGGTTAGACAATGCAGGACATCAAAAAATGTATCTTGCATGTAAAAAGCTAGCTTTGCTGAAGCATTTTTAATATTGTTTCTGTAAAAGTCTACAATTTCAAGGTCTGTCTTCCAAATTATGTGATTTCTGTGAATAGAAATATGTTTTCTGAGTTTAAATATTGATCACATGAGTGCTGTTAATGGTGTTTACAGCTATTCATGTCAAACTTACCTTCGATCCTCTCCAATCATCGTGTATATGTTGTCATCAAGTGCATATCCTGCAGATTTTACTGTAACAATTGTAAAGTTCTTAATAACAAGTTTCTCAATGCTATCGATTGGCTTCTTCCTCATTTCAGTCGTAAGAAAGTCAAATGAAACTCCTTGATATGCAGTCCGAATCACAAGACAGAAAAATAAGAAAAATATCAAAATAATTCGTGGTGCATTCTCAATTGGACTTTTTGTCTTTGAGATTCCAAAAAATGTTTGAACAATATCTAAGGCTGGAGATTGAGCATTGACTCCATAAATCCTTTTCTGTATCGAGCTGGGCAGGAAATTGACAACAAGAAAAATAATAACGAATGTTGTTGAAAATGTGATGAGGATGAACAGCCAAGTTGCATGATCAAATGGAAGGAACAGCTTTTCATATGAAGTATATAGCTCGCCAGGTGTAACATAGAAAGAATGTTCGGATGGAATGAATGTTGATCCGAAATGGACTTTTCCAGATGTAAATTTTGAGTAAATCCCTAATCTCATATAAATGGTTGGGTCAATGATCCTACGAGATCTTACATCAAGCACTCCATTAGGATTTTTAATTTGAAAATTTAAAGTGAAATTTCCAAAAACTGCCATTAATCGCATAAATTGAGGCACAAGTCCAGTCACTTTTTCATTGTATACATTCATACTCAAATGGTCCGAAAGATCTGCATTTAATGTAATCATGCAATTCCAAAGATTTATAAACTTTCTTTGATATTTTAATGTCTTGGTCCATTGATATTCTTTTATGATGAAGCTATTGACTATAGTGAGATGTAGCTGATTGCAGGTTGACTTTGAAAACCATTCCAAACTAACAAGGTCAATATCAGAAATATCATAAAATATTAAGTAGCTATAAAGATGAATTGGTGAGGAATCTTGATTCAAATAATTAGGTCCACTTTGTAATTGAATATTTTTCTCAACTGCATTCATAAAAACTATTATGAATATTAAAGGCTTTTGATAATGATTTGCTAGAACCAAATTTTCACACATTTCATCAAGATCTGCAATATCATCTTCGAATATGATTGCTGATTGGTAGAGATTCTGTTTTACATTCGGAATTTGTTTGATTAAATTTTTGAATTTTGGATTCTTGATGTTTAAATTGATGGCCTGTTGTAATGCTAGACTTGCTACAATGCAGTAACAATAAGCAATGATCAAGCAGTTCAAGTTATTAGTAAGATCCATTTTCTAAGGTCTTAACTGAAAGAAAGCAAATCGACAACTGACTTTGATCAAAAATAGAATACATTAATTTTTACCTCCTTAATTAATTATTAATGCCAGCTACAAGACATGTATTGACATGTTGTGAATTCTCAATAAATCCTAAACCTAAATGTTGTTTATGGTTCACACAAAGTTATCATAGATTTGAATTATATTGTAGCACTTCCAAAAGAAAAATCCAAACTGAAATCCCATGAGCCAAACTTAATTAAAATTTAATGACTTCTGAACTGCCTCTTTCTTAAATAACCAACAATAATTATCAAACCAGTGAACTTATTGACTAAAATCCTTAACCGAGGTCCAAAAAGTTCAACACAAAACACAATTCCTGACAGTCCACACGCAATAGCCCACAAAACAAATCCAAATGAAAGATCATCTATGGAAAGAACTTTAGGTCCAACTTTCCTGTTTACATAAACTTTTCCAAACTTCAGCCATAAATGATGTTCAAAGAGATATTGAGGAACTCCAGCAGGTATCATAAGCTGCAATGTGTGTTCAATAAGTTCATTCATGAAATGATTTTTAAAGGTGCCAAATCCAATTGGATATGAAAATAACTTCTGTTTGAGACAAATTCCTTGAATTCCATTTGTTGTTGAATGAACAACTTCAAAAAATGTATCTTGCATGAAGAAGGCAAGATTGGCTGATGCATTTTTGATGTTGTTTCTATAAAAGTCTGTGATTTGCAGGTCTGGTATCCACTTTATGCGATTTCTAGAAAATTTAAGGAATCATTCTAATTAGAACGATGTTATTTGTAATTTTGTAAGATTTCAATCATGTTCAGCATAAAAAATTACAGAAGTCCTCGTGTTATTGATCGAGGAACTTAAACGCATTTTATATTCACACCGTTTTCACGTGTGAATGTTTTGTTTTTGTTCAGATTGAAAAATCAGTTTTTTAGATTTTGTGAGTTAACGAAGCATTTTAGCTATAAATGTATAAAGAAGAAAAGTTTGTGCCTGAAATTTTAATAAATAAATCGAAAAATACGCTTTCTGAAAGCAAGCAAGCAAGTTAATCGGCAGAAAATCTCAATAACGAGACATCGTAGAGACTTCTAGTTTTTTACATTTGATCCGTGCTGCTCTATAGAAGAGCTGTATTTTTTTTAGGCAAGGTAGGAACAGCCGTTGCTTCAGAAAAAGCAAAATACTTACTTTTCTTACGAATTTTTCAAATTAAGATCAAAGAACCAAGTGGGAAATACATTTTCAATTTTAGACTAGGGGCGACCCTAGTCAAAATCAATTTTGTCACTTTTTTCTTCGAGGGTTTATCCAAATGGATTGAAACTTTGCATAAATATTTTAGTGCTAAAAACAAATACAAATAAAACATTCTAAATTTTTTTTGAGCAAAGAACCAAGTAGGAAATACATTTTCAATTTTGGACTAGGGACGACCCTAGTCAAAATCAATTTTGTCACTTTTTTCTTCGAGGGTTTATCCAAATGGATTGAAACATTGCATGAATATTCTAGTGCTTAAAACAAATACAAATAAAACATTCTAAAATTTTTTTGAGCAAAGAACCAAGTAGGAAATACATTTTCAATTTTGGACTAGGGGCGACCCTAGTCAAAATCAATTTTGTCACTTTTTTCTTCGAGGGTTTATCCAAATGGATTGAAACTTTGCATAAATATTTTAGTGCTAAAAACAAATACAAATAAAACATTCTAAATTTTTTTTGAGCAAAGAACCAAGTAGGAAATACATTTTCAATTTTGGACTAGGGACGACCCTAGTCAAAATCAATTTTGTCACTTTTTTCTTCGAGGGTTTATCCAAATGGATTGAAACATTGCATGAATATTCTAGTGCTTAAAACAAATACAAATAAAACATTCTAAAATTTTTTTGAGCAAAGAACCAAGTAGGAAATACATTTTCAATTTTGGACTAGGGGCGACCCTAGTCAAAATCAATTTTGTCACTTTTTTCTTCGAGGGTTTATCCAAATGGATTAAAACTTTGCATAAATATTTTAGTGTAAAAACAAATACAAATAAAACATTACAAAACAGTTTTAAATATCTAAAGGAAGAAATGTATTCTATATGTCGTCAGACCCAAATTTTATAAATTTGGTTGTACATTCATAAACAACGTGACTTAAAATTTTGTCCAAAAAAATGATTTTTATTAATTCAGAAATGTGTGACCTGAGGATTAGAATGCTCATACAAAATTTTACTGTATTTGGATTTATCCTAGAAGAAAAAAAAAGTGAAAAACTAGATTTTGACTAGACCTGTCCCAAGTTCATAATTGAAAATGTATTTCCTACTTGGTTCTTTGCTCAAAAAAATTTTATGATGTTTTATTTGTATTTGTTTTAAGCAATTGAATATTTTTGCAATGTTTCAATCCATTTGGATAAACCCTCAAAGAAAATACTTCATAAAAAAAACTTTTTAAAAAACCACGTTTTTTCCCGTGGACTAAAAAGTAGAAAATAACTTTTTTAATTGGGTTCAAAGGATATTGGTTTGAAAATTTGAGATTGATATGAAAGTTTTATACTAAAGTCATGACCATACATGAATCGCAAATTTGTTCACTTCGACCATATTGTATAGTTCTACATCTTAAAACGTGGGCGCATTCATTAATATTGTATATTAGGAAAGCTTAAATTTTAAATAAATGCGCCCACGTTTTAAGATGTAGAACTATACAATATGGTCGAAGTGAACAAATTTGCAATTCATGTATGGTCATGACTTTAGTATAAAACTTTAATATCAATCTCAAATTTTCAAACCAATATCCTTTGAACCCAATTAAAAAAGTTATTTTCTACTTTTTAGTCCACGGGAAAAAACGTGGTTTTTCAAAAAGTTTTTTTTATGAAGTATTTATTTTCTACTTTTTAGTTTTAAAAAATTATTTAAAGTATCCATCGATCAGCATAAGTTTGTAAACTAGAACAAAACCATTGAAAGTCTCCATCGATCAGCTGTGCTTCGCACAGCATTAGTTTGTAAACTAGAATCAAACCATTGAAAGTCGTGTAACGTATTTTTTGTCATTCAAACTCATAACGGCTTTTTGAAATATAAAATTATTGAAAGTTGTTCATATGTTATGTAAAAATAAGCTAAGCCTTAAAGAGAAAAAATTTAATTTAATTTTACTATAATTAAGCATTTTTAAGTTTCCGAAATGCTTGAATATTGTATTGTCACCGGAAAGAAAAGTGCATGCAAAATTTCAGCTCGATTGGAGCAGTAGAAGTGGTCGAAAAATTGATCGCAAGATTTGACCTCGACAAACAGACAAACAGATAAGAAAGCAAGTTAAGAAAAACGTGGTAATAAAAAGTGACAAAATTGATTTTGACTAGGGTCGCCCCTAGTCCAAAATTGAAAATGTATTTCCTACTTGGTTCTTTGCTCAAAAAAATTTTAGGATGTTTTATTTGTATTTGTTTTTAACACTTAAATATTTATGCAAAGTTTCAATCCATTTGGATAAACCCTCGAAGAAAAAAGTGACAAAATTGATTTTGACTAGGGTCACCCCTAGTCCAAAATTGAAAATGTATTTCCTACTTGGTTCTTTGCTCAAAAAATTTTGAGGATATTTTATATGAATTGACATAATTTTGACATAAATTGCATACCAATATTCCTTTTTTAATGCATAGCTTAAAAAAAACGAAATCTAAAATTTCGACTACCCCATCTGAAATTTGTTCATACTCTTCAATGTGGAAACCAAAAAACAAATTCTTTATCTTAAAACACTTGACAAAATAGCGACATAATTCAGGATTAATTACTTTTTAATAATATTTTAACATTTACGAGAAAATGTGGTTCAAATAAGTGTGAAGTATGGCCGAGATTTGGACCAAAATCAGCTATACTGGTTCATAGTGTTCCCGAGGGTGACAAACTTCAAACTAAGTGTTTTTGTAGCTGACATAATTATAACATAAACTAGTTATAACTTTTGAACTGTGTCGATCTATCCATAAGACTTTTGATGGTACGGTGTGAATATATCCGCATTGGGTTTCTACCCGATACACTAGTTTGTGTTCGCGATCAGTATTTGATTATCTAATTATTTTGCGTTCATTAACAGATCATGAAAAGATTAGAAGATCATTAATTTTATTGAAATTAACAAATAATTACAATAAATGTCCACATAGACAGTCTTTATCATTTAACGGTTTTTGGAATTCAAATTTTTACCGGTTGAAAAAAATTCGAATTTCTGGACGCACCCTGATTACAACTTTTACAACGGTAGAAAATAATTTAAGTTTCTAAACGCATAGATCACGTGTTTTTCATATGAAATAAAAAAATCATTAATTTAAGTATAAATACACTATATTAAGACTTTCAACTGTTCGGCCGGCCAATAACTCGATAGAGCCGAGCTAATAAAACAAACCCGAGCTCTCTACGATGTCTGGTTAAAAAGTTTTTCTGGTCCCGAGCAGCCGAACAAAGTGTATTATTAAGCTACCTTTTAGAAACAAGTTTCAAAAATGAAATGAGATCTTGAAATACACATAAAATAATTGAACGCAGTGGAAGTTACCTCTGATCTTCTCCAATCATCGAGAAAATGTACTCGTCAAATGCATATCCTGCACTTTCCATTGTTACAATTGTAAAATTTTGACTGACAAGCTTCTCAATGCTATCGATTGGCTTCTTCCTCATTTCTGTAGTGAGGAAATCATAAGAAATTCCTTGATATGCAGTTCGAATCACAAGACAGAAGAATACAAAGAAGATCAAAATTATTCTCGGGGCATTTTCAACTGGAACTTGCGATTGTGAGATTCCAAAAAAGATTTGTACAATATTTAATGCTGCACTTTGTTTGCTTGATCCATAGAAAAGTGTCTGTGTCCATTTTGGAAGGAAATAAACGACAACAATCACAACAAATGCAACTGTGAATGTTATTAATATAAACAGCCAAGTTGTGTCATCAAATGGCAGGAACAACTTTTCATAGGAAGTATACAGCTCACCGGGTGTAACAAAGAAAGGATAATTCGATGGAATAAAAACCGATCCAAAATGAACTTTTCCCATTGTAAATTTCGAATAGACGCCAAGTCTCATATAAATATTAGACTTAAATATCTTGCCAGTGCTTTCATCCAAAATATCATCACGGTATTGAACTTGATAATTTGGAATGAAATTACCACGATCTCCCATTATGCGCAGAAATTCAGGCACAAGTCCAGTAACGGTTCCATAATATAAGTTCACTCCAACAATATCATCAAAATCTGTTTGCAATGTGATCATGCAGTTCCAAAAATTCATAAACTTCCTTTGATATTTTAGTTCAGTCATCCATTTTTTCTCAATCTTTGAGAACTTCCCAATCATTGTCATTTGTAGATCATTGCATAAAGATTTTGAAAACCAGTTCATAGTGATCAGCACGTAGGTGTCATTTTTAGGGAAAAGATAATAGTTGTATAAGCTTAAAGCACTTGATTTGACGCTTAAGTAACCAAAGTCTGTAAATGGTGATGATTTTATGTCTCCATTCATGAAAACTATTATGAATATTAGATGCTTTGCATAGTCATTACTAAGCATTAAGTTTGAGTTTATCTCTTTAGCTTGTATGACATTATCTGCGAATATTATAGCTGATTGGTACAAATTTTGGTTTACTGTCGGAATTTGCTTTATTGTTGTTGTAAATCTTGGATTCTTGATCTTCTGTAAAATTGGTTGTTGAAAGGATAGGCTTGTTAACTTTTGAAATGTAAATTGAGTGCTGTAGACCAAACCAATAAGTAGCTTTAAAGAAATTTTCAAATTCATTTTGTTTCTAATTTATTTCTTTAAAACTTATTTTGAGCTTAGTTCACGTTAAAGAATGAAAATAAGAATACATTTCAAATTACTTCCTAGTATTGTAACACATATTTGAAATTTTTATATGTTCATAAAACACAAACTTTATCAATCAATCAAGACGGTGACATCGAACAGTATTAAAATAATAAACAGTTTACTTGTAAATAGTAAGTAAAATTAGAAACAAAATAAGCTTTGTTCTAGTATATTATCTATAGCTTCGTTTATTCGTCCAGCCAACAACATATAGAACTAATTGTCAGAGTTGTAATTAGAGATGACGGCAGTGAATTCTGCATTTTATATTGCTGACGCTTATAAATTGTAATTTTTATAATTTCTGGTGAGAATCGAACCTACGTCAATATAAAAGAAAGGGTTAAACATCTTGTCTCCTGTCTACACAGTTGACAACAAAAGCCTGATCACAATGGCAGATTCGCTCACATATGGCATGATATCTTGATATCTGCATCTCCTTCAAAATAAGCTTGACTGTTCAACTGCGCACTCTTTGGTGCGGCAGTACCTTTTTTTTGAGTATGACCCGCCTAAAAATCCACACTTTCACGCTTTTTGTACCGTTTGTTCTTGGAAAATGCTTTAAAATTTGGTCTGTCTCGCTTTTTCATAGCTGAAATTGGGACATGTCTAAGCTGACCAATTCTAATTCGTCCAGAAATCGAATAAAATTGTCAGATACATGGGATGTCCTCTATTTTAACTAATTGTTTCTAATATTTACATGTCTAGCTTTTTAACCAAAAATGGACAAAACTGATGGACAGCCTACCATAAACAAAACTTCCAATTATAATCAATTAACGAAGCAACAAAAAATCATTTAATTGAAGATTAATGAATTATTAAAAATCTACGCTTAAAAATGTTAGAAAAGATGAATAAACCAATGATTCTGTCAATTGCGAATCTCAACCACAGTCCAAAAAGTTCAACACAAAACACAATTGCTGATAATCCACAAGCAACAGCCCACAAAACAAATCCAAATGAAAGATCATCTATGGAAAGAACTTTAGGTCAAACTTTCCTGTCAACATGAACCCTTCCAAACTTTAGCCATCGATGATACTCATAAAGGTATTGAGGAATTCCAGCAGGTATCATAAGCTGCAATGTATCTTCAATAAGTTCATTCATGAAATAGTTTTTATAAGTTATAAATCCAATTGGATATGAAAATAGCTTCTGTTTGAGGTTAATTCCTTGAATTCCATTTGTTGAAAAATGTATGCGATCAAAAAATGTATCCTGCATGAAAAAAGCAAGCCTTGCTGAAGAATTCTTGATGTTGTTTTTGTAAAAGTTTTCTATTTCAAAGTCTGAGATCCACATTATGTTATTCCTGGAAAATAAAGACCTTTTTTAAGTATCTTGGGTTCAATTCCCAGCATAAGCTGATGATAAATAATCTAAGATATGTTCTTTAACTTACTTCTGTTCCTCACCAATCATTGAGAAAATATAGTCCACAAATGCAAATCCAGAACCTTCCATTGTTACAATTGTAAAATTTTGACTGACAAGTTTCTCAATGCTATCGATTGGCTTCTTTCTCATTTCTGTAGTAAGGAAATCAAACGAAATTCCTTGATATGCAGTTCGAATCACAAGACAGAAGAACACAAAAAAGATTAAAATAATTCGTGGAGCATTCTCAACTGGAACTTGCAGTTGTGAGATTCCAAAAAAGATTTGGACAATATTAAGTGATGAATTTCGAACAGTTGATCCATAAAAAATTGTTTGTGTCCATTTTGGAAGGAAATAAACGACAAAAATCACAGCAAAAGCGACTGAGAATGTAATAAAGATGAACAGCCATGTTGTGTCATCAAAAGGCAGGAACAGCTTCTCATACGAAGTAAACAGCTCACCAGGTGTAACATAAAAAGGATAATCAGATGGAAGGAAAGCCGATCCGAAGTGGACTTTCCCATTTGTAAATTTCGAAGACAATCCAAGTCTCATGTAAATATTTGGATAGATGATCTTACCAGTGTTTGTGTCATAAACATCATTATAGTAATGTATTTGATAGTTTAGAGTGAAATTACCACGAATAGACATGATGCGTACAAATTCAGGCACAAGACCAGTTATAGTTCCATAATATAAATTTACTCCAAATATATCTTCAAAATCTGTCAGCAATGTGATCATACAGTTCCAAAAATTCATGTAATTCCTTTGATATTTTAAGTCCACCAGCCATTTTTGATCATGTTTAGAAAATACATTCGTTATTGTCAATTGTGGCTTGTTACAATAATATTCTGAAAACCATTTTAAATTTATGAGGACATTTGAATCACCTGCTGATGCTATAAAGTAGCTGTACAAGTCAATAGATTTCGATCTGTGAGTTAAAAACCCTAACCGACTAAATTTCAAGTACTTTATGTGTCCAGTCACAAATACTATTATGAATATTAAATGCTTTGCATAGCAATTATCCAACATCAAATTTGATCTAAGCTCATCAGCTTGGTTAACATGATTTGCGAAGATAATTGCTGATTGCTGCAAGTTCTGCTTTATATTTGGAATCTGTCTTATTAAAATTGTTAGATTTAGATTCTTGATCTTCGAATGTGTTGGATTTGCATCTGAAATGTTGAGGATACTTTGTGTTACAAGTTGACTGCCATAAATTAAGTTGCACGAATTAAAAAGGATTAAAATAATTCCGAACGACATTTCTATTACAATTCTTAATTTGGCTGAATACAAGTGGAAACTGATTGAGAATCAAACAAGGAAATAAATGAATCTAATTCCTTTGACATTTCATTTCAAGTGACTACTGTAAAACATGGTTTTTATCGGTAAGTCATGAAATGTTTTAGTTTATAGGAAACAAGGAATAACCTGTATCAAAGCCAATATGCTAGGGTTTACTACTCAAAAATACCGCCTTCTCTAATTCTGATATCTCCAAACACAACAAAAATTGTTCTTTATGACGTCTGAGAATTAAGGAAATCAGAGCAGGGTTGCAATGCATGCACCTATGCACAGGTGGGAACCGAACAATTCATTGATAATATGTGAGGTTTTATGAAAGTTTGTACGGTTTTGGGAGAAAAACCTTATAATTTATCAATGAATTGTACGGTTTTCACCTGTGCCTGTATCGCAACCCTGAATTAGAGCATTGTAAATTCTGAAAAATGGTTCTTTAACAATCAAACTCATAAATCTGTTCAAAGCAAATTAGTTTCCTTGTCAGAAGATCCCAAATAAAGCTCCTTGTGAGCACTTGTTCAACTGAACTTAAACTTTCGAACTATTTATATTCATCATAATAAATTTAATCCAATTCAGTATAAAACTGCAATAAATATTAAACTTTCCAAGCTAATCACAGAAGACATCATCTTCATTAATTGATTTCAACTTAATGTTGGGAATAAATAAATAAGAACAGACAACAAGTTGATACAAAAACAAGTTCTTCTCGAGAATTTAATTTAATACACAACTGAATCTGTTCGTCTTAATTCTACATTCCTTATTGTTGAAGTTCATAAATCATGAAAAGTTTTACATTCCTTGTCTGCACTTTCCTTACAATAAACTCAACTTCCAACTATATTCACGTAATGTAGCTACAACCAATCCTTTGGAATGCAAAAATACTTTAATTAATATTCATTAAAGGAAAATTTTATTCAGTTCTCATATCATCATCATCATCATCTTCATCCATGATAATAATAAGAGATGGAGGCAACAAAAAAAAAGATAGAAGAAGATGGTTTCAGTTCTTAAGAGAATGAATTTATTATTTTTCATACTTTCATGAACACTAAAAAAAGATTTAATTAATATGCGCAAAGGCTTTTAGCTCTTCTATCTAAATTCTACTTCTTTTTAGCGCATTTTTGCAAACTTGTATACAGTGCAGTTTGTTCGTTCGTTCGTCTGAACAAAAACTTTTTAACCAGACATCGTAGAGAGCTCAGGTTTGTTTTATTAGCTCCGTTACTATTGATTTATTGGCCGATCGAACAGTTAAAAGTCTTGAAATAGTGTATTTATACTATAATTAATGGTTTTTTTATTTCATAAACAATACCACGTGATGAGTACGTTTAAAAAACATAACATTACCTCTATAATTTCAACTTTTTTTTGCTATAGGTTAGGTATAGGTTAGGTATAGGTTAGGTATAGGTTAGGTATAGGTTAGGTATAGGTTAGGTATAGGTTAGGTAAAGGTTAGGTATAGGTTAGACATAGATATAAATTTCTCAGACTTAAATAAAGGTTATTCCGAATTTGTTCCAAACCAAATTACAGAAAAATGCGCAACATTCACATCCAAAAACTTCCACCACACTTTCACACCATTCATTCTCTCATCGGTTGTTCGTACAAGAAATTCTGTCGTGACTGCATATAGCCTTCTTCCACCAGCTTCTTCTACACTTTCCACAGCTAATTATATTTTTTCCTCTATTCTCATTCTTTCTACTTTGTCATTACGTGGAATTCATTATATGTGCTGTGAAATCATTCGCTTTCTTTCTTCATTCCTGTGTCTCACCTTTGTGAGATTTCAATTTTTTTTATATTCTTTTATGAATTATCTCAACTCTTGCATGAATTGAGATAAAGATGAGATTTTTTTTTAAAAAATCCTTTGAGGGTTGAATCGTAATGAGGAACCTAATTATTTTGTAGACTGTGACTAATTTTGTTAAGTTATTGTGATGAGCTTAATTATGGTAGTTTTTTGGTAGTTAAAATCTTTATGGAATATTATTATTGTGGCAGACATGTAATGAGGGCGTAGATGAGGATTCGAAGTCAAAGATCACCAAGTGTTTTTAACTAAAGTAGCTCAAAACTTCTACAAAATCAAGTTGAAGCCTTGAAAAATTCCAATTCAACTATTAAAATTTTATTTTGCATAAAAAATGTTTTTCATTCAAATTTTTACACCGTAGCATCCTCAAAAAAGAAATTTGTGTACTCATCACAGCACAAAAAGTATATGAAAATTATTTTAATTAAAAGTTTACTGCTACATGAGTTCCTCTTCAAAGACATATTTTCTAAAAAAAAGAAGTATGTGCTTCACGATGCATGAATTATTTCAAAAGCAATTTTTATGATGAAAAAGTTTGAAGTGAAACAAGATTCTTTATGAATTCGAGGTTAAATTGCTTGAAATTATGAGGAACTTGAAAGTGTAATTTTTTGGAACTTTTTTGTTGTGTTATGTAGGGATAGATTCGATTCTAAGTAGCTCTAGTCGTGTGGCATAATTTCTCAATCGATGGCGACGAGGGAGGTGGTTAAAGCTGAATCTTCTATGACTCTCCACCGAAAGTCCAGGTCACCATTTTGCTCCAGAGATTCCAGGATATCCATTGATTCGAAAATGACAGACTTTTTAGTAGCAAATATAAAGAATGACCTATTAAGCATCAACCATTATCAATAAAAATTCAAATGCCTCAAAGTATCATTCCTAAGCAACCCCCCCCCCCCCCACCACTCATGCCTCTGAAAGTAACACTAAAATTCATCAAACCATAAAGAATTAAATTAGAATTTCAGTTTCCACTCAAACCACAAACAAACACACAAACTATCCATATAAGCATAAATTAAAAGTTTGTTCTCAAAAAACTAAATCAATTTTGTAGTTTTGTCACACAAAAAAAACTGGAAGCAACAAAAGAGAGGATGGAAAATACATGAAAGATAGCAGCAACAGCAGAAAAGGGAAAAGATGAACATTTTTTTGTGTGTGATTGCAACTAGCCACAGAATTTTAAAAATATGCATATAGAGACGTAAAAGTACAAACACAAACACAAAACGATAGATGGAAAATGAAAAGTTTTTTCCTTTGTTTTAATAAACTTTTTTCATCATCTGAAGTGCATATTCATAAAATTGTGTGTGCACTTTTTTAGGGGTTTAGATGGAGTAATTTTATGGTTTGGTGTTGGAAACTTTAAGAAAATGTTCTTGATGGTTTTTGAGGTTATATACTTTTTGCATTATTTAATGCTATAGAAGAATTTTGTTGTTTTCTCTTTATTGTTCGATTTCTTGAAGTAAGAGTGCAAACTGGAAGTCTCGTGTGAAGCCATCTGAACCTCAAAAATTCACTGTGAAGCAATCTGAACCTCAAATTTGTGTGAATATGATTCACTATCAAGCAATCTGAACCTCAAAAATTCACTGTGAAACAAACTGAACCTCATTAATTCACTGTAGAGGCACCTGAACATAGAAACTCTATTTTGAATGCATATGAATTTTAAAAAACTATTGTGAAAGCACCTGAATCTTAAAAACTTCAGATTGAGCCTTAAAAATTCACTGTGAAGGCACCTGAACCTTAAACATTTATTGTGAAGGTTCCTGATCATAGAAACTCTATTTTGAATGTACTTGAACCTTAAAAAACGATTGTGAAATCATCTGAATCGTAAAAACTCAAGCTTGAGCTTCAAAAACTCACTGTGAAGGCACCTGAACCTTAAAATTTTATTGTAAAGGCTCCTTAATATAGAAACTATGTTGTGAATGAACCTGAATCTCAATAAATCTTTTGTAAAGGCACCTTAACTTTAAAAACTCTAGCTCAAATGCACTTGAACTTTGAAACCTATGGACCACATCGTGAATTGTTGTTCAACTATTCTGAAACTTAACCAGACTACAAAAGAGTACAAAAAGTTTATTGCTAAGCCAAAGTTCATAAAGTTAACCAAAAAATGCCATAAAAGACCGTTCCCAAAGTAAATACCTCGAACCACTCTTTAAATCCAGGTATCTCCGACGTTAAGAATCCCCAAACACAGTGCATACACTACACAAAATACATAGCAATAGGAAGAGATTATGATAGCATAAGTAGCATTGCAGTGGATATGACAAAAAAAAAGTTTTTCTAATAAAACATATTTTTTGTCTCTATATGAGATTGCTGTTGTTTGTGTGTAAACTTTGCCTCACACCAGACATAAGGATAAAAAATTATTTTAATTAACGTAAAAACTTTTTTTTTCATATGCAATTTAATTTTTTTTTATTTTTTGATTGCTAGTAAATTAAAATTCAATTTAATTATGGATGGATAAAGCAGAATGTGAAAATTAAATTAAATTGATATTTAAATTGTGATACATCCATCATAATTAATTACTTTGCAATTGTTTATTGTTGTTGAGGAAGTTGGATGTTGTTGTTTTGCATTGGATGAGATGGAAAATTGTAACATTTATGATATTGCTGAGAATAAAAAAGTTTGCATGAATAAAATTAGCAATTCATTGAATTAATTTAATTGATGTTGAACTCGTTGCTGAACTGCTTACATTTATACCTTGACTTTGCCAAGGTTCTGATCCTAACCAACCTCAATAAGGGGCCGTTCACATATGACGTCCAGGGGGGGGGGGGGGGGGGTTTAGAAAAAAACAATAGAAATTCTTTTTGAAAAATGACCGTTAATTTCGGACGTCATAAGTGAACGGCCCCTAATCCATATTGCATGAAATATCCATCAAAAAAGGTAGGAAATGGTCCAAGATTTAATATTTTTCAATACTTTTATAACATTTGAACAATGATTTTTGGCAATTCCATATCTGCCAATCACATCTTCCTACCTGCTGAATAATAAGTGTCATAAATTCAAAAATCATTGTGAATCGTCTCTTTTTCCATTAAAATTTATTCACAATTAAAATTTATACAAAAAAAGTTTAAATTAATTCAGAATTTTATTTCATTAAAATGTTAATTACCTTACAGTAAAGAATGAAGGAAATGAGGTTTCATTGATGTAGTGAAAAATTGACAAAAGACGTAAGCTGTGTGAAATAATATTTCGTTTTTAGCTTGATTTGTAATGATGTGACTTTAGTTTATGATCAGTTTTGGATTGTAATTGATGCTTGGCAGTAAATAGTGGTAGCTTAAGATGATTAGATCATGAACAAGTAGTGTGGTCTAATCTAGGATGTGAGACCCATCTGGGATGTGGATTTAAAACTTAATCAAGATCAGAGGCTTAACAAGAATGGTGACAATGCTCTGGCTGGACTCTTCTTTGTTATACGACTGCTCAAGATCATTTTCACTTCTGTCATTATTTTAGGACCGCTGTACAATTTGTATTAGTACTCTTACCCTTCTCAGTAGCTTCCTACTTTAGTGTTTTAAAACTAGGGCAACCCTAGTCACCCACCCTAGTTGCCTAGGCGCCCTAATTACCTCTCTAGAAACAAGTCACAACTAACCCCCAAAAATCATAAATAAATGCGTCTTGAACCCCAACTTATCCAATAATTTTCCACAACTTTCTTCATCGCGATGCATGAAATGTGCTTAATTTTCCGCGAAATTAAAAACAATGAGCAATTAAGTTAATCGAGTTGTGACAATGATGATGATGATGGTGATCAAATAAAATAAAAATAAAATGAATAAAATAAAAACTGTGTTAATTTGTGATAAAATATTTTTTTTATTTCATCCATTCATTGACTTTCCTTCATTCATTCACTTGGAATAATGTATAAATGGGAAAAGATTGTACTGCCAGAAGCAGTGACTGATATCAATTATTTATTCTACAATTCCCATTTTACGTTTTTTATTGTATTCATTGCCTACAGCACTTTTATGTGGTAATTATGGAATGTTGAAAAGAGGTATTAATGAATGAGTAGTAACGAATAGTAACCTGTTAATTGCCTCCATTTCATTTGTAAGGATTTTAAAAGCTTATTAGTAATGCTGTAAATTACATCAAAGCTTTTCAATTGGAACTGATTTTAAAAATATTTAATTGCTGAATGAAGGGCTGTGGTGGTAAGCTTATTAAGTTAATGCTTTGTAATTACTTATAGTCAAGTAAGCTATTTAAGTACGTTAAGTTAATGTGTGTCGGTGGTTGAGTGGTTCAGTGTTTTGGTATTTATTTATTGTGGAACTGGCTTAATGATCATGGGTTCGAATCTAAATCATGGGAATACTTTTCAATTGTCCTTTTTTTAATCATATGAACTGGAAATGAAGCTCAAAGCTTAACCCTGCCTTATACTTTGTAAATAATAGGCTGGAATGACATCATTACAGAGTTTTGAATTCACAGATCATCAAGTATAGCAACCTAGCTATTATTAATGTGTAAGTCCGCTATATCCAAACCAATCACTAGGTTACAACCCATTTCTTCAATAAGTATAGACAAGGCCCAGCCACAACCTCAACATTCCATCTAAACAGCACCAACCCAAAATAAAAGAAGCTCAATTCAAACTCAATTGAAGAATATTTTAATGCGAGCCATCAAAAAAGAAGAAAACGAAGGCTGAAGAATGGAGGTTGAAAAATAAAAGTGTCAAATAAATTTCACATAAATTAAGCTTAGTATAATAATACCTCATAAAATAACATAAAAAGCTTTATAAGCTCAAAGGCAAAAACCCCTTTCACCTCATGACAATCCTTATTTTTCACACATTCTACGACAGCGCAGCACAGCGTTATGAAAACGAAGCACCATTCAACAAAAAAAAAAAAAGAGGAGCAATAAGAAGAAGGAACGACAAACACCTTTTTATTCTCATTCAAGAGTGGAAAATGTTCATACGCTGGCAGCGACAATGTAGCAGAAGGATAGAGAAACACATTTATGGATATAGGAACGAGGTGGAATGACACAGAGTGAGATGGAAAGTTATGAGGAGCATCATAATGTAAATTAATCATCGAGAATGATTTGGGGTGAAATCGTTTGTCAAATGGAGATGATCCCTCCGGAGAATGAGTTGAGCTGAACATTTAAAGCGAGAAGAGAACGAATGGGAATTTATTTTTGGGAAGATTGTGTGATTTTGAAGCTTAAGGCGCATCTTTTCGAGTGTGAGATATAGAAAGCATCATGTAATTAAATTATCAATAGCTACAAAACTAAAACAGAAAAGTTTGAAGTTGGACATTAAAGAACAGTGTTAATTTTAAAGACATGTCATTGAAACAATGAGCCACACACACGTTGATCCTAACAAAGGAATCAAGTGAAGAACGAAGTGTAAAATTTAAAGTAATGCAATAAAAGTGCTAAACCGTCCAAAAAACTCATCACCATCCTTCTCAGAAAATTCTGCTCCAATAAATTCTTCAAACTTGCTTCAGCAAAAAAAAAGGTATCCTCAGTCGCACACAAAAAATGTAACCACGAGAATAGCAACAGGAAAAAAAATTCACTGTGAAACGTCTATAATCCTTTACGTAAATAAATAAACTTTTCAATCTTCCGTAAATGTCAACTTTTTTGCCTTATAATGGTGGAAGTAAAAAAAAGTGTCAAAGCACTTAAAATGGGTAACAATACGAGGGAGTTAAATTGCTCCAGGCAATTTATCAGCTTATCTTTTAAAAGATCATTAAATTGGATGAAAATTGGGCTATAAAATATCAATCTTCATTATTTTTAAAATAATTTGAGCTTAGTGAGCTTTTTGAAGCTTTTTCAAAATTTTAAGTGATTTTTATAAACTCATAAAAATAGTAAAATGTCAATGGAACTTCCTAAAATTAAACACAACAATGAACACGATGAGAATATTCCTGAAAAACCGCTGAACAAGCTTTCATCGGATATGCAACGACAGGAAAACATCGAGCAATAGTAAGTACAGAACATACATTAATTAATTTACACTTTCAATACGGCACACATTCACGAATGACAGCTTGAAACAAATTTTCATCAACTTCTCGCATCGCTTAACCGCAAAAAGTGTGACTTTAAACTATTTTTTTATTCTCTCGTTGTTCAATTTTATCATTTACAGTTTGATGGTGTGCAAAAAGAGGATAAAGAGGATGAAAAATGTGCAGGATAAGCAATTTGAGCATGAGATTAAAAACCTCGAAGCAATGCAGTGTTGTGCTTATGATTAAGTGCGGTTTCACAGGTTTGAATTTTGAAGTATTTTAAAGCAATTTTTTGGATTTAGGATGGGGGGGGGGGGAGGTCTAATTTTAATGAATGCTATGATTTTGAGGATTATTTAAAAAAAATTATTTTTCTGTCTTGAGGTGAAGGGTTGGCCGAGTGGTATAGTAGTCAAATCCTTAAGAAACTGTTCATAAATGATGTCCAATAATTATTGCTAGGAGAAAGTTTTAAGTTTTGTGACAGTGGAAAGAATTTTTTATTATGCAAATTTTATTACAACGGGTGGGGAAAGGGGTTCTAAGAACCTCGGATTTTGACAGTAGTCATTTATGAAAAGCCTCCAAGCTGACATTTTGGAAATTTTCGGTTCAAATCTCTCAACTCCTGAAGTTAATATATACACTCATAATGGGCGTATTTACTTTGAGACAAAGCTTCATTAGTTGCCTACTAGGAGCATTTCCGAAATTTTGTTTGAGACAGTCAGACAAAGGGAAGGAGCTGAGATTTTTCACACAATTTTTAATTTTAGAATGATTTGATTTATTTTGCCTTACAATTTTTTCTCAATAAGTTGAGTTGACTAAACCCACTTTAGCTACACTCATGAATGCATTCAAATGATTCTTAGACCAACTACCTATATTACTATCTGTTTTACCTCCATTCCCTAAGTTTATAGTAAACCCTAGTAACCAAAAGGTAGATCAATGTATTCCATGAGAATCTTCCTTGGATGATACATATGTATTATCCATGTATTATCCATTGGAAGATGATGTCCTATTAAAATGGAAGATAAATGGACAATGCAATAAGACATCAATGTAATACATCAAAGGAATACAAATGGAAAACAAATGGATTACCCTGTTTTTTCGTTATAAGCTAGTAGCTTAAAAGAATAAAAAAGTGATTTTTTTGGCTCACTAGTAGCTTAGTAACGAGTAGTAGCTTAGTAAAGAAATTGAACTTCAATGAAAATTTTGAATTTTTTGACTTAATTAAAGAAATTTTGCTATCTTCCCGATTTTATTTCATTGACAATGTCATAAGGCATTTAAACTGATACTTAGAAAGTTGAAAAAGATTAATTAAACTTTATTTTTGGTAGTAGCTTAGTAAAGGTTACAAAAAATTTTCAAGTTCAAAAAACTTTACTAAGCTAGTAGCTTAGTGGTAAATTCCACGTGTTCTTTTGTATTTTTCACTTGTGAAGTATATGGCAAATTCCAAATTTAGAACAGAATGCTTTATGACGCAAAAAATTCTTTTTTTGATGATTTTTCGTAGGATTTGAACCTTAGCGGGTTCGGGTTATACTTCGATGGAACACTTTTGTTACATGTTTGTAAATCAAATATTTTACATATAATAAATAATGATACATTTGATGTTCCATCGATGTCGAAGGAAGATTATATGGAACATTTTGGTTACTTGGGAAGCTCATATCCTGAGTAGCATACAATCACAGTTATTGCCACGAGACACATGAATCAGACAATTTATTCTACATTGTGCTGCTCAACTTTAAAATCAAATCATAAATCAGAGTCCAGCACTAAAAAATCACTTTATAAATCTATTTTTATCACACCTCCAACATTCCACTCTACGTGCTTTTAGTATCCGCATTAACTCTTCATCATTCGACTCTTTATCCCTATAACTCATAATAATTCTTTGGTAATAATAGCCGAGGTCACCTGCATTCATTTTGAACCGTAAATCCCGCAATTTTTCCTCATTCAAAGATGACATAAATATTGTTTAAGTTACCATAGGAATCCACTCTATTGCACAGTTTGATACTACACATGTTAACACATTTAGCTACGGACAGCAATCTCGATGTTCTCTCAACTTACTTCACACATTCCATTTGATTGTAGAATTTTCGCAATAACTACGCTATGGCCACCGCTTCATAGTCGAAAAGAGATTGAAAATACAATGAAGAGGTTTTTATGGACGAACTCAATGGCACATACGACGCATTAATTTTATAATCGAAAACACAAAAACTTTGAGATGAATGGAGAAGGTCCGACGACTTTAATTGGAAATGTTTGAGGAAGAAAATCAAATAATCTGACAACATACGGACGAGTTATTAAAACTTTGTTTGCTTCTTCGTCTTCAATAAAATGAGTCTTTTGGATTATGTCAGTGACTAAGTGTGTATTTGTGGGAAATAAATGGAAGCACATATGAATCCGTATGAATGGTCAAAAAAGGATAAGCGAAAAATATTCAACTATTTATCCAAATCAACAAAACGAGACGTGATTCATTTTAGCTTTTCTCTTCCTTGCCATTGTTGTGTATCGATACAAAAAAAAAAGAAAAAGACCGACAGATATGTGAAATGGAAAGGGGGACGGAATGGACAGTTCTTTAAATACAGACTTTATTGAGTTAAAAATGTTTATTGTCAGAATGATGAAATATGCTCGGTGGTAAAATTGTGCAATAAATGAGGAAGAAAAATAGTTCATTGAGAGTCACATACCAATTTGGATCGACCTTATAAAGGTGATTTTGGCGCGCTCTTGTGAAGTATATGCAAAATGCCAAATTTAGAACAAAAGTTTTTATGACGCAAAAAATTCTTTTTTTGATGATTTTTCGTAAGATTCGAACTTAAGCAGATTTGATCAAACGTTTCACATGGTAATTTGCTAGGAATTTGCAATTAAATAGCAAGTGTAATTTATTAACAGTAAGTTGTTTTAAGAATAACTAGTAAATTGCAAGTAGTAGAATAGAAAGACTAGCAACTTTTTAATGCAGATTCAGATGATTTTGATTCAAGACATTTCAAAGGATATCAGATGCGAGTGACTCAATTAACCACTCTGTTATGTGTCTAAGAGCTCTCCCAAGTCCCTGTAATTTTCCCATTAATTCGACTACACTTAGTTCCCTCAGAACCGATTTTTTGCGTATAGCCATGCCATAAATCGTACCACGACGCAAGGATACTAAAGAATCCAGCTCTTGGCGACTGGTGATTAGCATCTAAAACATCGAAGTCAATATAGTTCCTAACCTTCAGCATAAGAAACCTTTTGATGCTTGTGACAGAAGCAGCAGTTTAGCAAACAGAGTACTTGCTTGAGTCAAGGTTCTTGCAACATATTAAAGCTCTTTAGCACTCATCCAACCAATAATCTTAAATTTCATCTTCATCAGAATCAATGACATAATCATGATTATACAGCCAATTCACTACCACTGTCATTCCCCCTACATTCATTTTCAAAACTAGTAAATTGATCATCTAAACAAGGGAAAAACGTGACTTTAGTACGTGATTTTATCGAGGAGGTCAGAATAAGGAAGTAAGTATTAGTAGATCCGAACAGAAAGAAAACTTTTTTTCTTCTCTCTCAACAAATTTATAGATTTTTAGGCTCATTTTCATGGGTTGGATGGAAATGAAAGGGCCAATAACAAGATGAAGACAAAAAGTTTCGTGTATCATTATGATTGTTGAACATTTATGTGTCGATGAGGTGGGGGATATTCGTAAATGATGTCTATTAGGGGATATGTTTGAGAATAAGGGGGTTTGATGATGACTAGTCTTATGAGTTGATCTGTTGAGGCTTTATAAATAAAACTTAACACTTAGGAGGATTTTAAAGGTTCTAAAGCTGTTTCTAAGGCTTCTCTAGACAATCTACTATCAAATCGACTGACTTATTGAGTCTAGCAGAACAAGTGTGGAGCTAATGGTTTAGGCGTGCATTAGGTCATTTTTGGAGAAGGGGATCAGAAAATATTATGCGAAATACAGCATAGACTTGAAGATGAGTGCCAAGGATTCATTCTACTCTTTGGAGATCCAAAAGAGTCACGATTACAGGAAAATTGAATGAAAAAATCATAGCTTGATGATCAGACATAGATTAAATTGAGTCCGTATCCCTATAAAGCTATACATCACTTATCATTAACCCCCCATGTGTATGCCATTTTCTTGTAAGAATTGAAAATAACAATGTTGAGCAAATAATCAACTTGTATTGATTTTTTAATGGATATTGAGGCGATTTTGAGATTGGAAATGTTCGTCAGGTTCAATAAACCTTCAATTTGCAGCATAAAAACTTTTTTTTTACCATTTCGAAATATAAGCACATTGAGAATGAGATAATTGACAGAAATTAGCAGATCTTTATATCGTAAAAATAATAGACACATTCGAAGCAATGAACGAACGTGATTTCCTCAACTGCCAATGAATTAAAATCCGATATTTTCCCCCAAAAATGCACGAAATAAAGGAACAAATGAGATAACAATAATGGAAGGGATATCATTAATGCATAATTTGTTTACTCCATTTCGAATGTGTAACGAATATTTTTTTTTTATCATTTTTATTTTCACGGACGTGGAGATTCGAATGATATTTGCATGACTTTTATGCTTGCCATAAATTTTCTATCGAATTTGTGGAGCTGGATTGATTTTATATGAACTGAAATAATTAAATGGGATTTAATAGTGCCAATTGAGTTCATCAATTTTGCAAAGTACGAATATTTACACAGCTATAATAGATTTTGTAAAATTGAATGATTTATAATCCTGTGAAAAAATCTGCAGGAATATCCAATAAAATAAATTAATAGTAGATCCAATTGTGACATGAAAGGAATTGATGAATTATTTGTATTGTCATCATGACAGGGTCGACATTGATTTTCTTTATTTGTTTTGAATGGTATGGAACCAATCCAGCTACAATCCTGAAAAAGACCATTCCAAAACTCAACATAACTTGATAAAATTTCAAAAACACAAAAGTTATTTTTTAACAATCACTCATTCATTTACTTTATCATTTCATGTCATGCTCAACAAATTGACTAGGTTAATTTAGTAAAGCTCATGGCTGTAAAAAAGACAAGATTTATGGATTTTATCTGCTATAATGGATATGAAATAGTAGAAAATATTTTATGTTTTGGGATGTATTGAAGAAGGAATGTGACGCATTTTAAAGTTTATGGGAAATTGCATTTGAATTTGCCTTAATTTAAAGTGGCCTTATGTGCCAAAAGTTTTGAGCAGAGATCGATTTGCATGGGAATTTTGTAAGCGGTGAAATGGCATCAGTAGCCTAAATGGTATAGCGTTGGCTTTCCGTGTCAAAGGTCCTGGGTTCAATCCCAGGCCATGTCTAATTTTCGATGCTCTTTTTTCATTTCACCGTTCTAATTACAAAGCTAGGTTCGTGTGTTTGGTCTAGTTTTGATGTCTTTGTAGTAAAATGTGGTCTCTTTTAATATGTATACTTGGATATACTAGCATCTGGATGGTTACATTACAGCATCTTACTAGAACGTTTTTTGTTGAATCGATAAGGGGGCATTATAATGTAGATTTCAGTAGTAGTAGACTCAGATCCTTAAGAACATTTAATTTAAATTTAGAGGACATCCTAATACTAGTCATCATAACAGGTTCGTCTCCTATCTTGGGTCGGTTTATAGTGCAACTCGGGCTTTATTTTAAGATAAAATTTAAATCTTTTTATTTTGAGACTAGGGCACTCGAAATATCCTTAAAAACTGACCCCTTATTAACTTTTGAATCATAAAACCTGATAAAACCTACAATCTTAAAGATAGTCAGCTTAAACTAACTCCAAAACAACACTATCGCTACCTTACTGATAATTTAAGCCAACAAAAATAAAAAAAAAACGTTAAAAAATGTTTTTTTTTCATTCCAACATAAATGACCCAAAGCTATAATTCTCTCCCTAAATGTATATTCTTTTTAACTTTCCTCATTTTATCGCATGAGTTGTATCATGTTAGTAATTTACTTTTGCTCTATCCGCTTTTATTATTTGTACGTATGGCCAATGCACATCCACTGATGCTATGTAATACTATTATATCTATTTTTTTCGTATTTTCATTGTGGTAAACTGCATACAGCAAGTTACAACTAGCAGTAAAATACTACAATGAAAAGCCATTCAGGTAGTTACTTGGGTGAATATTGTTGTGACCCATGAAAAAAAGATATTTAAAATGTAGAAAAAAAAATATTGAGCTCTTTTATTAAACTGCTCTTTTGTATGTTAAAAGTTCGTGGGGAATTTTAATTGAATTAATTTAGTTGGAACGTAAATTGAGCTTTTTTATGATAAAGAATGCTTTTATGAGATATTTTATAGTGGACAATAGAAAGATTGTTCGTGAAATTACTTAAATTTAAAGGCAGTTTTTATGAAAATAATAAAGAAATAACAAGGGTTGAACGTGTTGTTCATTTGACGTTTAAGGGGTGCGAAACTAATTTATAAACAAAAATGAATAGTTTAATTTGAAACTATTGCAACAATCTATGACTTTAATCTACAATCAAAGCATTTAAATTTGAGATTAATCCCAAGATTCCCAAAAAATGATCCTAGCACATCCAGAGGAACCTCCTCGTCCACTTGTAGTATTGCAGACGTGGGCAACTTTTTTTACGTCATGGCACAGCTTGGTGGTAAGCCATGATCAAATCCACACAAGGAACGCTGTTCGTGGGATTTCTTGATTTTCATGCCGCACTTTAGTATGCCGCGGAACATGGGCTGGCCATCACTGTAAGTATTGGATTCTGTAAAAATTCAACTTTTCCAGTTCATGTGAAAAAAATTGAGAAACCCCTCGAACCATGTGCCTCGTACAGATTCGGTCATGGCTCAAAAATGGTTTGCCTCCACTGAACTAGAGTATAGACCCTTATTATTGTCGAGAACTCGTTCATTTTTTTAATTAATACGAATATTTAATGAATGCAATGGCATTGCCACTGCAACTGATAATTTAATTAAGCAAACAAATTATTTTTAAACAATTAACTTTTTAACCATAAAAAATGTTTTGTTCTATCACAAGCTTTCAGCCTTTACAAAAAACATAATGGCATTTTCTTGTTAAGACACAAGCAAAAAAAGGAAGAAAAAAACAATTCAAATAAAAATTCATATTATTCATTCCTTCATTTAAATACCACCCGTCTTCATTGTGTGTAGTCATAGGAATAAAAGATGGAGAAGATCCACCAATTACATTTGAATTAATAAAACATTTATTATTCGTGAAGGAACAATGAAGAATGAGAGAAAGAACTCAGGCTTGATGGAAAGTA